TTCACAAGTTATCACTCATCTCCAGGCTTTGTAAATTTAGAATTCAAGGCTTTGTAGTCTAATTTTAACTCACTTTTAAACACTTTAATTCTAATTGGAGACCTTATTCAGGAATAAAGCCGCCTTTATCTCTTTGTACTGGAAGGTTTCACTCATGTCTGATATCTATTTGTTTAAGGCCCTCCTGTGGCTCACAAGACTAGTGCACTACTACTGCTATTGTAACTTATTTTGGTTTTTAGGCAGTGAGTTTTTTATTTTTTTGGGGGGAGCACCATTTACCCAGTCTTGCTACAGGTTCTTGCACCAATGGTGTGAAACACAGTGTTCTAAATTAACATTATAGATAGTCATAAACATCACAAAATTTCAGAGGGATAGTCTATATTGTCAAAGACAGCAAAGATTCTCCGATGTACCATAGTAAAGATAAAGATTTAAACAGAGAAAGCTGATTATTCCTGTTGTTTGTGGCCTAAAAATGTTTGAATTGATCTTTGGAGCTCAGCCATAAAATCCCATGGGAACCTGATCTGTTCACTCAGTAATGACTCCTTGTGGTAGCGTGACATGGATGTGTATCATACTTGAGGCCAAAAGAGACCATCATAGCATTTACACTGACTTCCAGATTACTGCAGACTATTGAAGTCATCCACTTGCTTCTGTACTAACCTTTTGTCTGCTAAGGCATATCTACTGAAAGCCACTGAGAGGAACAACAAACCCCTTTTCTCCTTCTGTATCTTTGTTCCAATGTGTAGCCCGCCTCACTTTAAAACTACAGCTACCTTATTTCCATTCTGCAGCAGTGTGGATTTTGCACCCAGATATTTGCCCAGCTTTGTGCTCCGGGCTGGCTCTCTGTGCTTCCAGAATGTGGGATTTTTCTCCCTGTGAAGATTTTTGTAGGCAATAATCAAATTGCCTCCTGGCCATCTCCAGGCTGAGCTGAACAAGTCAGGATCTTTAATCTCCATGGCAGGCGTTTTTTGTTTTTCCCTGCATCTGAACTCTGAACCCTTTAAATATATTCAGTGATATTAGTGCATTTTAAAAATGGCACTTGAGGCCTGAATGATGGGTTTTGCATGACGTTTTCTTACCTTTAACATATAATGCCTAATCTCTTCTTCCAGTTTCCTTTAGACGCCAGGTGTGAAGCTTCCAGTTACATTGGTGAGGCTTTTACCGCAGTTCTTATAGATCGATATTTAAGAGCATCAAGCGTCTGTTGATGATATTGACTGAAAGTTTTGAGGCAGTTGAAGCACTGGGATTTAAGCATAGGATACGGCCAATGGCAATGGAACCTCCCCAGTTAGGCATCCTGCTTGAAATGAAGCATAATCTGAAAGAAAGCTTCTGTGATTGAGGGAGGCACCCAGCCTGTTTCAGCCTGAGTTTTCAGCTGTTGGCTGCATCACGGCGGAGGTATTCTTAACTCAAATTGCTATAAACGGCATAAAAACATACAAAGTTTGAAAGTCACATTATTGTAAGACCAACGATTTATGCATGTGTTGGTGGATGTACTAATATATAATTCACCCGGGTTCAAATGCCAGCGCTGTATTTTTCCTCACAGACTATCTGATGGTAGAAGCACATCAGATAGGGGGGCACTTGGAGGCTTCCTGGAACTGGGAATTGTGCAAGTTGTGTGAATGTGCATGTTAGATATCTGACATGAGCTTCACAGAAGGTTACTGTCATTCCTGGGCTTGAGAGAGTAATAACAAATTTGCACCCAAATCACAGAATAAATAATCCTCACCTTTGCTCAGCTGAACGTGCACTTCTTTTGGCTGGGCCAGAAGCGTGCATACATCTCAGCTGTGTACTCCACTTCATTCCTGCCCATCTAAGCACACATCGAGGACATGTTGTTCATGCCTGGACAGAGTTTTCACCTGCGTGTTTTAGTCCACAGACCCACTACAATGACCGCAGCCCCGTAGTTGGTGTGCAGCTCCACTCAGAGTGTAACAGATGGCAGCAGACTGGCGGTTGAAGTGAGACCAGAAGTCCCAATAGCAAAAGATCAGCACTGTCAAGAGTGTTCAAAAGCTGACAGGTCATTCTTGTCACTTCTCTGAAGCGAAATGCGGGTTGTTTCTGTTCTCTGTGTTAAAGGCTCCTTTGTAACAGCTAATGTTCCTAAGGGCTAAATTGTTTTCGTGCCAACAGGTGAAATAAATTTAGGCTTCTAGGAAGTCTCATATGCTTAAATCCAGTAACATTCTTTTCTCAGTATGCTGGTTCTGACTTCATGGGGACATGGTTACAGACATTAGGGGATCATCTCACCGCTGTGTCCAACTCAGTTGAGGTCACTGTGAATAGTAGCGGTTAGTGAAGATTCATATCTGAAATCCACCCACTTGTCTAAGTCAAATGCTAAGGGAAAACAGCCCTTTATGCTTCACACTGACTATCCAGTTGGAGAAGTGGCTAGCCTGAATGAATAAGTAAAGCAAGTAACTGATTATAACAGAGTTTACAGTAGAGAGAAGAGCGCAGACAATAACGTGGCAAGTGGAAAGTCTGGGTAAATGCACTGGAAATCACTGACTTCATTTGCATGTCTTAGCAAGGAGACTACCATTAAAATTGAAGCCTGCTTTCTACAGTAGGGAAAGTGCGAGGCCTTTCAACTGTGGCTATTTCCACCGGTGACTGCAGAACCTGAAGGACAGGAAGAATCAATTAGGCAGGAGTGTGCCAAGCCAAAAAAACAACTCAGAAAAACCACAGACTGTGACTCATCAGCCTTTTTATAAACTAATTTCCTCAACAAAGAATGGAATTGAGCTCAGGCCAGCTTTGGTTGTTTAGAAAACAGTGAGAGCACCACAATACCTCTCCAGTCTCTCTGGATGAATGGACAGAGATCCCCTTCTTCCATCTTGCAAACAGACAGTAGGAGAACGGCATCTGTAGCACTCAGTGCACCGCAAAGTTATCTCTGTTTAACCTGACTTGCTGGGCATAACCCAAAATCCTTGTCTTTACCTCTTCTTCATAACTTCTAATGCAAAATCTCTGCTTCTTGTGACCTTCAGTCATTAGCTATTATTGTTACTGCCTATTATTTGCCTTGCCGTCGTGGTGCTCAGCCAGCAGCTATGCTGCCCTTGAACAAGATGCTATTCAGACATACAACAAGACTTTCCAAGCCTTAGGACCATACTCATGTTACACAACAAGGGGGTCACAAAAAGGAGGTGAAGCAGCCAAAGGTGAACAGGAATGGGGTAGAGCAGGAGGAAGACTTAAGAAGGAAATGAATGTTGACTTAAGAGCAGGATTACAAGGGGGAGGGGAGTTGTTTGCTGCTTTTTCTTTTTTTCTTTTTTTTTTTTTTTTGTTAACAAATATGTTTTGCTCCATGCAGGGGAAAAACAACAGTCACTTATCAGTAAGTGCAGAGATTTAAGACAGTTCCTGATGCAGATTTCCTAAAAGGGCTGTGTCTTGTAACAGGCACTTGAGCATTCTCTGGAAAGACTTCTTAGACATCTCATTTATTCATTTTCTGGGGTCGGAGGGAAAGACTTGCATCTGTCTGCCCAGGGCCTGGTGTGCCACAGGGCTTCCTAAGCAGGTCCTCTGCAAATTTATGTATGCCCAACAGTGGTTGAACTTGGCTCATTCCTGAGCATGGTCATGTTAAAGAAGGAATTAGAAGAGGGGATGGAAGAGAAAGCCTGGTTGTCTTTTTTCTCCTCTCAGTTTTCCCATTTGGATGTTCGTGTATATGATTAAGGTTCTCCACAAAAACCTCCTTTTTTAACAACTGGGACTATAAAGACAGGTGTACTGGAAGCATTGGCCTGCTTGTCAGAGGAGGTTATAAAAACCACAAGATGGACCTGTGGGACAGAAGCTTGGTAAGGGAAAAAAGGAATAATTCATGGCAGGCGCTGGGGTGCAGAGCAAGAGGGAGAGGAGGGACACACATGTGTCCTAGTGAGGAAGGACGATGAAGACAGAGAAAAGAAAGGAAGGATAGAAGTGGGAGGAGGAGAGGAGCAGTTGGCAGGAGAACAGAGGCATGAGACCACTATGGTCAGAGCAGAAATCCTATCAGTAGCATATCTGAAGTCTGAGTTTTCTTGGTTATGCTTGCTTGGACCCAAATCACATGCAGTTTCTCCGTATCTGAGACCACGTGCTGTTCCTATGGGGAGCCTGAGCTGGGCTCATCACCTCTGCGATGCTGCTGAGGCTGATGGAAACCCACAGACACGAACACCAGTGTAACGGCGTGCAGGCTCAGATGTGGTAACGCCAGAGATGCAGAACCAATCCCTCAAAGTAGGAGAGATTGATTTTGCTTTTGTGGTCACTACTAAGTTCAGCAAGCAAAAAAGGCTCCGGCAAGCAGCCAGCAGTTTCCAGAAGAACTGTACCTCAGAAGATCCCTAAGGGGCAAGGGAAATCTGTACCAGGCAGCTTGTGTGAAAGCGCTCATTTGTCTGGCAGTGAAATCCTAAATTTGTCTGGTGGGTGAACTCTCCAAGTCATGAGGGGTTAAAGGCTTACTTGTTACTTCCCAAAGCAGAGGTTTCAATATTCAAGCTGCACAGAGGCAACAGCTCCAGGTATAATTTGAAGAGCACATATAACTTTGTGCTTTTACTGTGACCAACAAATGACATTCAAACATGGCCCATGCTTGGGAACTGGAAAGGAATTATGCAAAAACAAGCAGTGGGAGCTATCTTTCATATGATGAAGAAACCCACAGGTTTATAAATACCTTTTTAAACAATATTAAGAACATAATAATCTTATCACAGAGACAAAAAAAAAAAAAAACAACATCATCATTTGCTTCTATCTCCTGTACTTCTCAATGTAAAAAGGAAAATCTTTCCAGGGTGACTGGGTTTTACCCATATAAAGGCTTACAGGAAGAAAGAGGTTCCTTTTTTTTTTTTTTTTTTTTTTTTATTTCTTTATAAAGAAAGGAAAGGATGGGCATGCCAAGCCAAAATGGCAGAGTACAGACAAAGGTGGGCACTGAGGCTTTCTCCTCGGGGGCCATCCACAGTAAACTCTTGCCCTGGTAGAGTATAGCTCCCCATCCCTCCTGCCGGGAGGGACCCAGCACGCAGCCAGCCCTTCAGCACAATCACAGCTCTTTGAAGTTAGTTTGCACAGTTTCACAATACCGTCAGCCCACGTCACGGTGGGGCAGCAGCAGCTGAGGCCAGCAACAGCAGCAACACTGGACACAGTGCACAGAAAAAAGGGAGCAAAGAGCTTATTTGCAAACACTTGTAGGTAACAATATAGAAAGTCCAAAGATCATAATTCTGCTATAAAAATATTACACTTCATAAAACCATGTACTATAAAAAAAATCTATTCAGAAACGCTGGTAAACATAATAAATATCTGTACACTGGCTGCCCTTTTCATACAGGAAACATAAAAAGCATGAGCCTCAGAAATCACAATTTGTAAACATGAATATGGAGCCCGTAAACAAAGTGCTAGATCATGGTTCATATTTTGTCAAATTTGCTGACTGCTACCCAAGTAAGCTCCTCGCACACATCATCATCTAATGGCCAGATTCCACCACTGCGAGAGGAAAGAGGACCCTGCTCTGAGCTGGCCCCCTGGTTTCACTGAAGGTGCATACAGATGAGGAACTGGCAAATCAAGAGTGAGGGAAACAAGATTTGGCGCCGAGTCACAGATCAGAAACAACCTTTTAGCAACTGGTTTTCATTTTCTGCACTTCGAAATGCTTATTTCCAGCCTCTCCTTTCAAAATTCTCCTTTATTGAAGAGAACATGCATTTTCCTCATTTGCCTTTCAGGCTACGGCGTCTCTGAAAACGTTGACCATCATCACATTCATTTAGGAGACACGATGGAGCAACAAATTGACTCTGCAACTGCATAAGTGAAGCAAGTAGTGGTTGTACAATACAACACTGGACATTATGGTTTACACAACACAGGCTGATGCAAAGGGTCACATTGTTAATTTTAGACTCTAAACTTTGGGCTGCAAAACATTTCCATGTGCAAGTCTACTGCGTGATCGGATGCCTGGTTACACATGTTTTGTCACCCACTTGCACATGGAAATGCAAGCTCTAGGCTCACAAAACTTATTAATAGATTTTACCTAAAATTTGGCTCTAAGAACTACTGTGACTATTTGCTCTGTAACACCCTTGTTCTGCACTGGCTCCTACCCACCCTTCCCATCAACACTGAGAATTTTAGTTCTGTACACAGTGAGAATGTTACTTTTAACTTCACTTTATCTTCTGAGTTTAAACACTCAAATTTTTGCTAACTTTCAGAATACAAGAGGATGCACAATCGTTGCTTGTGCCTGTTGTGGGCAGGCACGGAGTGGGGAATGTGGGCCTGTGTTCACACAGTATCAGAGGTACCAGAAGCAGCTTAGCTGCAATGTCTTGGGGCAATACAGGGTTTTAGAAGCATGATCAGCTAGGAGGTAAGAATTCACGCTTCTATGGGATTATGATGCGTGCTTCAAATGAGGAGAAGAAAACGGGCTTGCACATTTTCCTTTTTTATAAACTGTATTGAAATATCTTATTATTGTAAGCCTTTTTATTTTAATCTAAGAAATATCTGAGTTTATTGACCCAGCTGTGCTTCTTGCCTATCTTTTAGGATTCAGACGTGACCCTGGAGCTCTCTTGGCTCTTGATTAAAGGCACCAAGAGAAATTTGCTTCTAAATATTTGCTTTGGTATTTTTGCTACACACATCTTAAGATACAGCTTCAAAACATCTGAATTAAAACAATTTTCTGGTGAGAGATGTCTGCTTTTCTGCTACAGTAATCTACTTTACCTTCCAAGTTTATCTGCCTTATTTCTACTAGGCATCTAGAAGACTGTAGCACTCTACAAAACCAGGAATTTCCCCTGTAAAAACAGGTGATTAAAAAACAAACCCCAGGATTTTTTCTATCCTCTTTATAAAGTCAATGATGGCAAAAAAACCCCCCACAGTCAACATTATTTCCCCTGGCATGTTATCTGTGGCCCTATACCCTGTGGTTGCAGGGAGTTTATACGAACTTGGAGCCATTTTCAGAAGCCTGGGCTTGTCCTCCCTGCTCTGTGCACACAACCTGGCACTGGGAACCAGCTGCTCTACAAACATCCCATCGTTTATCACCCCGACCCTGCGCCACACCTGGGCTCAGCTCAGCATAGCTCAAACAGAGGGACAGAGGTGACACCGAAGCTGTAGCCACACCAACGCGTTGACAGCACTGCTGGCAAGAGAAAGGCACTGGTTGCCTTCCTGCTGCCCCCAGCCACTCGTTCTGCCGCACAAACATTTGCTCTGCTCCATGCTGACCTGGATAAGGGAGGTGGGAAAGGACAGATTTCTCTTGACAGCTGAGGTCAAGTGAAAGTGGCTGCCTGCCTTTTTTAGCACCAGCACTTGCATATGCTGGCAGGAGTTCTGTGGACCGGCGGCGTAAGAAACCCTTGTGGCATTCGTGGCTTAGGGGATGATCCAAGCCCTGGCGTAATTCCTAACAGAGACACAGCAATTGCTGTTCTCCACTAAGGTTCAGATGTATTTGGAGGTACCAGAGCCAGCGACGAGTGGTTAGAGTGAGCACTGCTCTACACAGGCAAAACCAGCCCATCCCATAAGGACCTGCATACTGATTTCTAATAGAGCCTGATCTACCCTGTAAGCCAGCAGACTCAGTGTCCCTTTCAAACTCAGTCCAAAACCTGTTTAACTGGAAGTCTGGCTGAAGAGTCCCAGTAGCACCCCATCCAGGGATGGATCCCAGTCTAACCCATCCAGGGTTAGACAAAGCACAGGGACACACAATCTGTACTTTGTAAGAGTGTGACATACAATGTCACGTCACGACATCATGGCACACAAGACATGCTTCTCCCAGCTCTCTGTGCCTGGGTTATCCCTAGAGCCATCTCAGGGAGCTGCTGAAAATTATTTTCTAGAGAAGCAAACCAGAATCTATTGTCAGATGGAATTTTTTTTTTTTTTTCCAGATGTAGGGGTTGATTGCAAAGTATCTGCGAAGGTCACTTGTGGTTTGCTGAAAAAGTCAGGCTTTATACTGTTAAAACTTGCTTAGAAAAAATTAAACAATTTTTAAACAAGTAAAAATTTATGGGGGACTGGGGGCATGAGGGGTCAGCTCTCCCTCTGAGCAGCATCTCCCACACCTTTTTCATATACAGAAGCTGGGGTGCTCTGTAGGAACTGGGGTAACTTTTCCCATGATCTTCTTCATCAGGACCGTTGAAGTCCTGGAGCTGCAGAGGTGGGGTCCAGCTCTGCAAAGGGTGGGGAGATGCCTCCTCCCTGCTGGGCAGACTCCTCTCTACTGAGCTGAATGGCAGCTTTTGAAGTGGCTCACCAGATGAAATGACCATGTCTGTGACAGATACACTTTAGTATGCCTTGGATGGTCACTGCCTTGCGTACCTTGCTGGTTCAGAAATCTAACTCTACTATTGGTAATAGCCTAAGGCACTAGGTCGCTTTGCGGACTAATAACCTGCAAAATGGTATGATCTAATTCCAAGTGATTTTTAGACTTTCAGGAGTTAAACATAACATTTAGTAGAACTCCCTCAAGATGAAAAAGAGAAAAAGAGAGAGAGGCTAAGCTTTTTTTCAGTTAAGTTTTCTCCTAGAAAGAGTAAATGCTTATTGCTGAGCTATGCTGTAGCAAGGAGTCTGGAAAGGAGATGCTGGTATAAAAGCAGCCGTAGCAGTAATTAGGCCATGGTCATGCAGCTTTGCCTGGATTCAGCAGGGCCAGTGGAAGCAGCAGGTGCTGCCAGTCTGAAATAACGAGTGCCAATGGCACCTTCCTCCCCCTCTGCCAGGAGGGACCGTCCCTTGGATTGGCTGATGGAGACTCTTGTATTTCAGTCAAAGCGAGCTGGATCAGCAAGACTAACAGTGGAAATGGTTTAATTGGGTTCATCTTGACCGAAACAGGTCAGCAAATCCTCAGAAGAGCATCTCCCATGGCAAGCCTGAGGCGGGGAGGGGGCTGATCTGCCTGGGGGGTGGGATGGAGGGGAGGCTGGACGGGACAGCCTCTTCCACAGCCACCTATCCACACCCACAGTCACCACTACCATTTCCAATGACAGACTTTCAAGAACACTGCAGACAAAACTCTTCTGAGTATCACCTCAAGCACTGACTACATTTCTATCCTTGTTTGGACAGGCTGGGACAGCACTTTTTGTGTGCATGTATTTATATACACACACACACCTGCATCCATCTGGATGCACCGGCAACAACATCTTAATAAGCAAACCCCATTATATGTAATTTATAGGCTTATAAAGTAATTAATGAGCATCAACATGTATCATTCTGTATGTGGCCCAAACCTAATAGGTTAATAGGGTGATAGCTGGAGGGTTAGAAAGAGCTAAATCAGGAAGAGATTCAAACCATTAAACTTCAGGAAGAGCAACACCCTGTAAGCTTGGCCTACAATTATATTCATTGAAAAAATGCTCAAAGAATTAAGACAGAGTATATCAAGAGGGAATTAGACTGTTCCCATTGGCTGTGAAGAGAAAGCAAACTGAAGCAATGAAAGATAACGAGGAAATCTCAGGGGGAGACAAAAACTGCACATAAGATTTACAACCCTCTTTCTGCCCGTATACAATACAATTGCACTGGACATTAAAAATATATTTTGTTGAAACAACACACATCAGCTGGGACCCCAGAAAACCCAGCCCTCCCTCCAGGTTGCCCTCAGCATCCTTTGTGCCCACCTTGCCTTCTTCCAGGATAGAAGTCACTTCCAGGGAAACAAGGCCTGGCCCGAGCCTTTCCTCATCCCTCAGGATCTTTCCTGCCCGTGGACTCACCTCGCAGCACGCTGCTCCCACAAACAAACTCAACTTCTAACAAGAGGGAAAGTGTAAATGCAGTGAAAAAGCTGTCAGTGAGCCCGGGTTACCGGGAGGGGAGGATTGAGGGCTGCTGTGTGTACAACCATGGACACACACCTGTGTGTGTCTGCACCCATCAGTCCAAGCCAATCCAGCCACGGCGTGAGGTTTCACAGCATCGTTTATTCTAGAAAAGAGACGGGCTTCAAGAAGAGCTGCTTTGCAGCAGACCTCTGTGCACAGCACATAAACCTGAACATTAAATACCGTTTTAAATTATTAAGAATAAATTTAAATTTAAAAATAGACGAATGCAAACAAACAAATTTCAGTCAACGCTGGAACAGAGCTAGTTTTAGGAAGCATATTGCTATAGCAAATGCAACTACTCGTTCCCTTGGACATTCTGAGGCAATGACCTGGTAATTCCAGTTCAGCACCGAGATGCACATACCACCCAGCAAGGAAAAATTACCATCTCTAGCATATGAAGCTCCATGTTCACATTTCTCTTTTTTTCCATCACAACAGAAAAAAAGCCAACATAGCACATTAGCTTTTCCCATAAAGCATCCGAGGTGACAAAATTTACTTGGAAAACAAAAATTAACAAAAGCAGTACAAAGAAGAATCCTGGTCAGCTTGTGACCACAATAAGCCAAGATGGGTAAGAGAAAGAATAAAAAAATAGTTCACATCCGGCACCACAAAGCTTGCTCATTTTTTTTTTAAATCAGGGATTGAGAAAAAAAGGTCCATTTTGCTGAGACCGTTTCAACAAAGTTTTCTTTCCCTGAACCTAGAAAAACCAGGTATTAGGGTACAGAACTTTTGTTTTATATGTATATAAATACACATGTACATATTTATATAAATATAAAAGCAGAGCATCCTCCCCCTTTCTCCTCATAATTTATTATTATTAAAGCTTGTAACAGAGTTAGCTGGACTCTTGAGAAGTGGGCACTCTCCACACACACATGGCACAGGGAGTGCAGCTCTGCTAGAGCAGAACAGCCAGGCAGGGACAGGAAATGTTGGGAGACGGGGGTGGATTGGGGTGAGCAGCCAGGGAAGGGCAGGGAGCCGTGACTGGAAATGGCCTTGCTCGCTCCAGGGTGGCATTCTGGCCTGCCAGAGCCAGGTCTCTGTCAGCAGACACCGTGACGGTGTGGCAGGATGGCTGCACCCACCCACTCGGCCCCTTAGCAACCCAGACACCCACCCTCTTCTGCACCAGCTGCTGAAGAGGGACTGTCCCTCGTTAAAGAGTCCCAGTTAGCCCCCTAAGCACTTGCTAGTTCCCTCTGGCAGTACTCCCCATCATGCCGCCATGGGTCTTTTTTTGCCTACTGTCCTCAAAGTCACCTGCACCATTCCCTGCCTCTGCCCGGTTCCCCAGCCCCCTCACCTAGTGCTCCCAGACCTCCTGCTTGCTGGGCAAGACCAGGTGCCTTTTTGTCCCCTGATCCACAGGCTCCCACTCACGCTGTTTTATGTGAATGCTTTCCCGCAGTCTCTTAAGACCAAATAATTTCCTCGGAGGAGCAAGTTTCTCAGAGGTTTTCTGCTGTCAGAGACCTCTGGGTAAGTCAGGGCTGGTGGCACACACTCCGCAAACAGTGCTGACTTCGTTTTCCAGAGAGGGCAGGGGCAAAGTGCAAAAGATTTCTTGAAATCAGAAGGTATTTCCACCACCAACAGCTCCCTCTCCTTCATGCTGTATAGCACTTATTTCAAGTAAGGTAGTATTCACGTGTCTCTTCAGCCTTCACTCTTCCTGGGGTGAGTGGAGATCAGTAGATGTCTACTGGTGACCAGACGAGCCACTTCATCATGACGCGTGCTGGGACAACTGAAAACATTCAAACCTGACTGCGTTCTTCATAGCAAAAAGTGCTTTTCTTGCGAAACAGAATGAAAACAGTGTTCCCATGGAACATCTTAAGGACTCAAAACCAGTATTTCCTAGGGTGGGAAGGATGGAGCGCTTCTACTTTATTTGGTTTTATCTCATTAAGAAACAGAGCTACTGGCAAAATTGGCACGTCTTTGTGAAGTTGTTAAACTTGGGACCCTGGCTGGAATGTAAAAGAAATGATGGAGCAAAGGAGAACTTTGCCTTATGCTGGACTTCTGCTATTTCTGGCGATTTCATGTGCAGGTTGTCCAAAATAGTTCTGCTAGCCAAGTAAAGATGAATCTCTCAAATAATAAACGGTGGGTTTTCAAAGAGGCCTTTTGAGGGTACTGCTACAACCTGGTAGAGGTAAGTCTTTTCATGCCCCGCCGCTGAGCCAGATTGGAGGACAATACAGGCTCCAGCCTTGGTGCCTGAGGTGCTCGGTTTAAAGCGAAGTAAGTGGCTGCCATTGCACCCTGTAAAATAGAGAAAGACAAAAGATAGGTTTGTTTTTTTTTCTCAGAAAAAAAAAATGCTGGGCTGAAATTCAGTTCTTTGATGCTTTCCCCCCTCCCTTTCCCAATTCAGACTCCTGAAAAAATGGATGTCCATAGATGATTTCCATGAAATGATAATGTTTGGGCTGGCAGACAGCTGGGGTGTCCCTGATTGAAAGTGGTGGGTAGCAGTTATGTGCAGAGAGCCCCACCAGGTCATTACAATGCAGATGGAAGTTAAAAATAGGTGATGGGTCAAAAAGCTTTACTGTTAATATGATGACATATTATATTTGGCCTCTGTGACAAATAATCTTTTCAATTTATCTATCACTTTCCAGAATGTTTAGACAATGACAGCACATTCTTCAAGGAAGGAAGAGGCAGGAGGGTAGGAGGTACCTTCACCAGGTGAACATCCTGTCTGCTGAGTTGGTTTTGAGACAGATACTCCCTGTTCACTATCCATGGATGTCTTAGGACTTGGACTGCTGTGAGGCGCTGGTGAGGGTCTACATGAAGCATCTTTGATACAATGTCCTGGGTTTAAAAGGAAGAAAATGGGAAACGTAATTAATAGTGCAGGTTTTACTAAGATCTTCCTAGTTGATCAGCATGTCCAACGGTGTGAGGAATGTACCTTAGGTATGCTTTCTATTTTTGAAGTGTAAAGTCTGATCTTCACTAGATTTCCAAGTGTAATGTTCTATTCTTATCTAATAATCCAGTCAAAAGATACTGTGGAAGGTATTCATCTTATTGAGTGTTAATTATAGGTGACCTTGTAGGGGTGATTAACAGAGGATGCCACCTGAAGGCCTCTCCTCACTGACTCCAAAGCATGCTTGCATGAGAAGCTTAAAATAGAAATCTAACATTCAAACAGGCAAAATTCAATGAGATTGAATTGATTTCAAAAGTGAACATCTGATAAAAAATTAATTGTGAGACTCATAAATGTTGGTAGGAAGACAAATACATTACTAGGATGGTTTGCAGTTTTGTGACGGGATACGTCAATGGATGCTACTGGTTGCTAAAACTGGAATCCCTTGCAGGAATATCTAAACTGTGTCAAAGTTTCTGATTAAAGCCAGGCAACTGGAAGCTGGTCAGCTTTCCTGCCCATCTACCTGTTTCACAGACCAGTGCACAGCTTTCTGCCCAAAATCTCAGCACCAGATGAATTTTATCTCTTGAGTTTTTATGCTTTGTGCTAGATGGGCAGCCTAAACCATGAACTGTACAGTAGTTAAAAATGCTAGTTTATAAACTACCTGCTTCTGGTTAACTTTGAGAAGCAAAAAGGTGATTCACATAGATCACGAATTTGTGGCATTGACTACCCTACACTTCTAAAAATGCAGTTGCACCAAAAGAGTTTTGTGAAATTTTAACATTAAAAGCATGCACAATTGATAGTGCTATATTCTGCCTTAGTTTAATGAAATAAATTGGCAAAATTCCTAACACACTATTTAATGCAGAGTGGTAGAAACATAAAGAAGAAATTTTTTGTTTCATGGGGCACTGAGAAATAACCCTTCTGACCACCTCTCTCTTAAGTTTGTTACAACTGCAGAGTGCAAGCCTGTTTCAAAGAACAAGGAAAAAATCTCAGAAAGTGTTCCCTGACCTTTGCGGTATCAGATACCGAATCCCAGTTGCCTCCTGTAAGTGCATATTTGCCACTGCCGATCCTGGCCAGAATCTCCTCTGGGGTGTCATCTGGTCCATTTGCAAAAGGAGTGAACCTGTTTAAAAAAAGAGAAAACAATGCAGTGCGATTTGCAAGGATATCGTTTCTAGGATCTGGTGCTAAATGCCACCCATTACAACAGGAATTTGGTTCCAGAATTGACCACACGTATCACTGCTTCATTTTCACTCAAACCATACGGTGTAGTGGTTCCTCAAATTAACTTGTTCTCAGAGGGAAAGGCTGATTCCTTAATTTTTTTTTTAATTTTTTTTCTGTTCTCATTTTTTAGGAATGAAATATTCTTTTTCAAAAATAGACAGGTTTCTACCTCTTTGATTCCTTTAATTCTGCTTTATTGCGAATAGAAGTACCTTGATAATGGCAAGGAAGGATAAAAATAATAAAGGAGAAAAATTAGGATCTGCAACAGAAAAAAGGAAAAGAAAAAAGAAGCCTTCATAATCTGTTTTGCAAAGCTTTGTTAATCATAACATGCCAGTCTGTTGGGCAAAACAAATGATGTGCAACAGGTTACTTCCTGATCTAGTGAGTCAGAAATTACTATAACATGCACCCAGCTTTACAAAGGTGTCACACAGAGGGCACACTTTTTGTCTTCAGAAAGTGACAAGTGGTAAGATTTTTGCAGCTGACTAAAATCTACCAGGTGAAATTTTACTCTGCAATCCTGAACAGCTGCATAGGTTTAGAAGAAGGGAGTATTTGGGGGTTTTATACTTTTCCTTCCATCTGTCTTTTCTCTTCTGACAGCTTGCCAGAGTGGTTTTTAGATCGTTTTGAACAGTTGGTTTGGCCACAGCTTTCTATCCCACCTGGTTTCTAATACCACATTCAATTTCTCATGTTGTATTTTGTAATTTTCAAAAACATGTCAGATTTCACAGATGTTCAGCCCAAGGAGATAGATAATATTATTGCAATCTGTAACTATCAAGAGGGATGCACTAAGAGTTAAGTAGTGGCTAAAACTCCAAAGTCTGTCACTACCTGCATTAACACGATCCCAGGCTTGAGCTTTGCTCCTAGATGTCTGAGCCTTCTCTGCTTATAGTGATGATGGCAGGACAATAAAATCCCGGTAGCAAATAATAGTCAGTTCCTAATAACTCTTTTCTAGTGAGGAAGAACAAGACCTAAATGCAGTGGTGGCACCTAAAAAGTCAGCACTTCCCAACAGTTTACATTACTTTTATATTCTAAGTGCAGAAAAAAGTGAGATACAAGTTAAAAGCACCTTTTTGATATCCACTAAATTGTGCAATTTGTATTTCAGATTCAAAGACATTTGGATTTTTTTTTTTCACATTTAAAAAGAAGCATTTTGAATGTAATCAGCTAAACAAATGTGACTGTGGGTAATGTGTTGATTTTATTTTACCAATTGTGGTTGTGTAGTTGTGTATCACTACAAATGTATTGCATTAGCCAAATAGAAACAGGTTTTTTGAGATCCCACAGAAAGTCACAATGTATTTCAGCTAATGGTGAACACATTTGTACTCTGGAACAAAATAGATGGGATAGAAACTCCTGGCAATAATAACAATCCACAAGGCAAGAGACACGAATAACAGAAAGGTAGGGTCCAACTCTTTGTTTTCTGTATAAATCTAGGAACGAATCCAAGCTTCTTGTCACAGCTGAATGATCATGAAGTGGATTAAAGAGCTGTGAAAGGTCACTGAAAAGTTTCAAGCTGCACTTACGTAGGATAAATGTGCACATACTATACCCTGAGAAATGAAATTCAGGGGTCTGGTAACTCCAGATTGGGTTTGCACACTGTGTTTCCCATTCACCCCAGCACATCTTATTTCTGTCCTTCACTTCTTATTTCAATCTGTCTCTTTCTGGGTCAATATTTAACTTTAGCCAACACATTGGTAGGGGTACCTTTGCCAGGTACACCCCCAACCCACCCCCTCAAACAAAATATTCCCGCTGCCTGTTGCTGTTCCTGCTGGTCTGTTTATTTATTTTCTGTCCTTTCTGCAGCAGATTTTGCAAATAGCATTTGAAAACTATGTGTAGGTTTTGGTTTTTTTAGCCTTGAAAGGTACTCAGATACCTCAATAACAACAACCGCAGAAGTAGTATGAAGTTGAAGAGAATACCTGTATTAATAGAAATGAATGAACATCTTCTTATGGATAAGGTGAGCGTGATACGGCTCCCTCATACTCCTACACTCCTCTCCTAGGGTAACCCTTCCACGCTGCTGAAGTGGTGAGGGAGTGTTTTAGGAGCCTAGGTCTCAGAGCACACTTACAGGCACAGGCTGTTAAAAACCTAAACAACTTGTAACGCGCCGAAGGCATTTATGCTCTCTGGAAGAACTTATTCTAATTCTAGGTCTTGGCATCTATTTTCTTGCCTCATACAACTGAGCACATTTCTCAAAGGAGGCGAGACAGTTCGCTGTCTCTGTTCTCTATCCGTGACTCCTTTCTGACTTAATCAGTGCTGAACTACTGAGCCCACTGGAGACTGCTGCTCCAGGAAAACCCCTTCACTCACCCTGCCAACATGGTATACAGTAGGATCCCCAAGCTCCAGATGTCACAGGCTGCATCATAACCTTGGCGTTTCAGGACCTATGCGAAGGAAAGAGAGAGACGAAAATAGGTTAATCTGCTTTCCTGAATTTTTAGCTTCTGGTGTTCAAAAAGCACCGATTGGTATCTCCTGACATTTCCAGGGCTTGCCCTCGTATCTGGCTGCCTCAGGTGCAAAATGTTCAGTAGTGGAGTGGAGCAAGGTGAAACCCAGGCTGGAGTGAGCTGGTTAGTGTGCCAGCCCAGCACAGCTGTCACCGCCACAGTGACAAAAATCATAGAATCATAGAATTGCCCAGGCCGGAAGGGACCTCCAAAGGCCATCTAACCTCCCCGCAGTCAGCAGGGACACCCCCAACTAGACCAGGTTGCCCAGGGCCTCGTCGAGCCTCTCCTTGAATATCTCCAGGGAAGGGGCCTCAACCACCTCCCTGGGCAACCTGTTCCAGTGCTCCACCACCCTCACAGTGAAGAACCCTCTCCTAATCTCCAGTCTAAATCTGTTCCCCTCCAGCTTGAAGCCAAAATGAGTTTGTTGGAGGCTCTGGGAGCCTGTCTGAACATTTAACACACAGCAAAGCGGAACAAGTCCCATCCCACCGCCTTATTTCAGTGTTTCAAAATCTTTCTTAAAAAAACCCAAGTAGTTAATACTTTGAAACATATCCTCCTAACATAATGGTTACCAAGAACACTGCAGATGCAAAAACCATAGGGCTGAGCCACAAAGAACCAATAGGTTCAATGTCGGTACGGGATGGCAAGTTACAGCAGCAAGGATAAAATCTGGACTTCATTTATGCTAATACATACCAGAAAAAATGCTTATTTGAGTCAGTGCAGGTCCGAGTGAAAGTGAAGTCACCAACTGAGGCTGCATTGCTGAGATTAGGGGAAGAACCTGTGTTTCTGTTTGGTTCAGAGAAGGTCAGGGACTACCTCCAGACCTTCCACTTGTTTGTAAAAGCAAACTACCCTTCTGTTTATTCAGTTCTGACCCACAAGGAGAGTATTTTCCCCTTCAGATGGATTAGTAGACACATTAACTTTTTCCAAAGCACATAAAAAAGGAATGTACAAAATCAGCAAGTCTTTCTCTGGGCTGCAGCCTTATTACCCAGGAGTGATTTCAGCTATCTGAAGTCTATCACAGAAAAGATCAAGGAAAAAACAGTTTCAGAATATGTTGCCTTGACAGATTTTACAAATGATGAGTGGTAAAACAACCATCTGCCAGGTATGCTGCTGAGTGAACATTTGCTACCTGAAAAAAAAACTGAGAAAAAGCTGCATTTTTTTTAGCAGACAAGGCTGGTAAAATCCTGCTTCTGCCTCTCTCACCTGCACAACATATATACATTCTCTGGCTGTTTTATTTGTTTCTGTTTCTTTAGTTCCTACACTCATTCCCTGTCTATTAATATTAGTTTTTATGGTAATAAACTTCTTTGCTATTTGACAAACTCAGTTGCTTCTTGCTTATTCGTGAGAACTGTGAGACTGAGCACCCACCATTTATCTTTTGATGTGTCCATTCCCATTGCTTCTTGACCACTTACATTTTCATCGCCATCGCTGTCAGCCTCTGATAACCAAGGACAATCAAGCTCAAGGCACATGACACAAAAATGGGGCAGCGATGAGGCCAAAATGATGGACAGGTGTCGCTGTGTGCTGTCATTCAGTTTGCCAGAATATTGCCCTGATAACAGGGGCGTTCACTCTGTGCCAGCGTCTAGGGAAAGCTCTGCTGGGAATTACTTCTTCTTGACAACAACAGGATCCAGTGAGAGTTATCAGTTAGTGTCGCTGCTACTTGAAAACATCTCCTGCACGTCTGTGCAAATGTGTTTAAAGTGGGAACACTGAGCTGCCAGGAGCCAAGCGTGGAAAACCTTGGCCAAAAAAGTGAATGTTTGATCTAGGGGGCAGATACTATCAAACAGGAACAGGCATCTCTCTTAGAAATAAATCAGTCAGGAAAGAGCTTTGCAAAAGATGCTGTGGTGTCCTACCCTAATGGATGCTGAAGAATTTACCACCCACGAAGGGGTTTAGGTTGCCTCGAGAATTTGGTGGCATCTGACATGGCAGAAGCTGCTAGTTCTCAGCTCTGTACACGGCGGGGCATTGTAGCGACAAGGAACAAACTTCCCCTGGGTACGTTCAGTTCTGATAATGGCTCAAAAGTTTATCCAAACCCCTTTTATTTCTATAGGCTTTGGTTTATTGGGTTAACAATGTTACAAGTATGGGCTTTTCTCAGTTGTGACACAAGCAGGGATGAAAGCTAATAAAAAATCTCACAATTTCGAATGCCAAGACAGTAGTTCTTCACGGATTTTGCAGGAAAACTGCAGAATAATGTATTTTTACTTTATCCAAAGGGACCCTACTGCATCCCTAAGGAAACGGCAGGCTGCCCCAGCCCGCCTTCATTCCCTGCACCCAGCGTGACTCGCACTAGGTGGCAGCCGGCCTCTTCCTCCCGGGGAGCCTTCGGCTCTGCTCCTGTTCTCATCTAAACCCCCAATTACATGTTTCCAAAATAAAGGGGGATCCGAGTGGGCAAACACGTCCTCCTTCCTCTGCCACTGTCTTCTTGTGGCATCAGCTCGGCTGACTTTCTGCCGCCTTGTTTAGTTCCAGGGGCGTACAGCAGCCGTCGCAGCGGGGCTCAGGCAGGGAACGTCAAAGTCAAGTCTGGAGGGCAGCACTGCATCACAGGTAAAATGTAAAAGCACTTAAGGCTTTATGTAAGCTCTCTGCCACTTCTGGTAAAGTTCCAATCGATCTCCAACGTTTCCTGCATTAGCAGGACCTTTCTTTCCACAAAAAAATTGGGAGCGTGATCTCTGCTTTCAGTTCAAATCAGGAGATTCTGATCTGAAACTGCATTGGGCCAACAATTTTTATGATTACAGACACAATACAAAATAGCCCATCATGAAAAATAGCTATACCTATTTTAAGCGCCCTGTGTCCTGGAGAAAATCTGAGTGCTTTAAATCTTGCAAACATGATTATTTTTTTGGTTTAGAAACTGAACTGCTGTGGTGCCCCAGAACTTTTTTTACGTATTTTGAACAGCTCATTCCAAGTTCTAAAATGAAAACCCAACCAAACAGCAATAAAATAACAAACCAATCTGTCTTGGCAATGGAATTTTTTGCAGAAAAAAAATCTGCTTTGAATTTATACTGCCCTAGCAATGGTCTCAATTTAAAAATTCTCCTTCAGATGCTGGAAGGCTGTGATTCCTGTAACTTTTGGTATCATTAAAGGACCTTGCACAGAAAGATCAGACCATTTTCTGTTCCCAGTTACACACCATGCAGATGAACACTGGATGGAGAAGAGTTATAGGGAAGAAAAGATTGATGGAAGCTGAATGATAACAACTGAGAGGCAGTGGCGTTTGACAGTAGAGGACAGATGAAGTATTGAAAGGAAACAGTTTTGTATTTTTCTTATAAGGACCATAACAAGCAGAGGATGACACACATTTGTAGTTGTGTATTGTAAATACTAACATTGTTGGTAAGCATCACTCCAAGAAAAGAAAAAATTACCCAGGAAATTAACCTCTTGCTTCTTCACCAGAAGGAAGCAGCTACGACGTCTCAAGGGTCAAATACAGCAACCAGCCCAAACCATTCAAACAGCTGAGGGACCCAAACCCACTCCTGGGGGGCTGCATAAAAGGAACAGCACTTGCCAGCGATGCAGAGCCACATCTGCCCCTGCTTGGGGCAAGCTGTTTGGTCTTCCTCCATTTCCCTGCCTGTAAAAATGGGAAAGGAGCCCTTTCCTACATCCCCCATAACAGAGGGGATTGGAACTAGGAAAGCCCAAGAGGACAGATGTTTCCTTTCTGTAGCTCCATGAAGCCAGCAATAAAGCTCACACTGACTTCAGTGTGGTAAGGATTTCATGCATGGATTTTTCTTTTGAGTCTTATTCCTGACACCAAGATTTCCCTTTTAAGCCTTATCACACAGTGCACTAGAGGGGAAGCAGTCTGAGCAGAGCAGCTAGAGAAAAAAGGGTATTTATCCTCGTAATGAGCCAAGGCTTTGTGTACGTCAGTCCAAGACAGACATTGGCTTCCGTCAGGAGAAAAACAACCGCCCTGACAAGTGCAGGAATAGGAAAGTTGTGGTAATAGTGGTCGTGCAAGTGCCGGTAGCTTGGTTTCTGCCCTGCTCCTCTTGTAAAGGCAGTGAGGAAAAGGGAGAGAGAGAGGAAGGACTGCTTCCTAGGACACGCTCATTACTCACGGCTGTGAAATGCAATCCTACCTCAGGGGCGACGAAGTTGGCGGTGTAGCAGGGAGTCATGAGCAGCCCGTTCTCCGCTCTCAGTTGCTTGGCAAACCCGAAGTCACAGATCCTGATGGAGTCTGGGTTTCCTGACTCATCCATGTAGAGGATATTACTTGGCTTGAGGTCTCGGTGCACCACCTTAACAAGAAAGCAGTGAGTAACAAGTGAGGAGAGGAGGTCAGGGAGCACTCAGGCTTGGCTGCTGTTTCTGGTCTGCTGGTTGAGGTGGGTCAAGAGCTCATGCTGAAAATATTTGAGTTTTGGAGAAAAGTTGCTTAAAAGCCTTGGGCAAACGAAGGAAAAAGAACAAGGTTAAAGTCTGTTAAAATCCATGGTCTGTTTGACAGCCTCTGCTGATGTATTAAGATGGAGGCTGCTGCTTCATGGGGGGACACCTTTCCTGAGGGTTGTCAGAGGGGGTTGCTGTACAAACACCTTGGTGTCAGAGTCTCCTGGAACCTGATGGCCTGAGTATTCAGCTGAAAGGCGAAGAAGAAATCCCCTCATAGGAGGAAAGTGTGTAAGGGTTCTCTTGTGACTGTCCATGTGAATGGCTTACACCTGAAGGGATTATATTTTTTCCTCATTTCAAAATGTATCTGCAAAAATCCTTTCTTTAGGCACACAACTTCAAGTGCATTTTTACCAGACATACCGTATTTCACAGCCTGTAGTTGTTATAGCAAGACTGAAAAACTATGACAAAAACATAAAAGCCCAAGCACAAAATGCACTTGCTTTAACCATGAAGCAGAAAAAGCAGCAAATATTTGACTAACCATCTAAACTGGTTGTCCCTGAAAAGCAGAAAAGGAGAGATTTTCAAACTGCCGAATATAGAGAGCTTAGATTTTAAAAGCCACCTCTTTAACAGCATGTCAGAAACCTTCCCCATCAGCTGCTCGAACTGCCACTTCACTTGGAAAGCTGAGCATTTGATTTCCACCTATCTGCTGATTCAGCTACCCTACTTGAAATTCTGTTAAAAGATCAGGTACTGCAATGATGACCGTGATAAAAAGTAAACAACTAACATCCCACCAAGGTACATGAACTTGAACATCAGTGTAATTTGGGGACGAAAATACCACTTCAGCATACTGCAGTTCAGTTGGGAAACGGCTAAAATGCCTATGACCCAATTTCACAAACCAAATGTAATTATAAATAGGGAGAAAGGTTTTTTTTGTGGGGGGGAAAAACCATATTCACATTTCATAGAAGCAAGATCACCGCTGTTTGCTTTTCTAAAAGTAATAGAAGGTTGATGTGGATAGCCAAAAAAGCAATGCTTACACCCTGAGAGTGCAGGTAGTCGACGGTCCTGGTGATGGTGCAGAGCACCGCGCTGGCCTCCCGCTCTGAGAAACACTTCTGCCGCAGGATGCGGTCCAGGAGCTCACCCCCCCGCATCAGCTCCATCACCAGGTACACATATTTCCCATCATCGTAGACCTGGGGGAGTAATAGAATAAATATATGTTTTGGACCCATTAACTTGGTGAAGGCTGGTCCTTTAATCACAGTGTTGGCTTGCTTGTGTGAGATGTTGCAAGAAGAAAATGTCAGCTAATGTGGGGGAAATGTGCTTATTATGCTTAACAACAGAAAAGGCAACTTTATAAAATGACTTAATCATCACTTTTTTTCTCATGTCTGTAGCAATTTGCCAATTTGTCCACACAGACACATAGCTTTCCTGGTGTGCTGTCACGTCAGCAGAGTAGACCAAGCTGCTAAAGCAGCACCACTTCACACAGCCTGAAATGTCTGCTGGCTCTCACCCAAGCCTCCTTCTCAGTGGTGTTCTCTCTTTCCACTTCTACAGGGTAACATTTGCCATTTCAAATATCAATATTTCCCTTTGACTCATGATCAGCTAAATGAACTGTATTATACTGTTGGCCAAGATCTGCTTCCAATGATATTATAGAGTTTATATTTGCAATTCTGGTGAATGCATTGTTGACATCAGCCACAAGATGTATTTACCTTCAACGTCAATTGCAAGGGGTAAAAGACGTGCTTTGTCTAAACTGGAAGACAGACATTTTCATGTCATAATCCTTTATCTGGACTGCAATAATAGGCAGTGCTGTAGTCATCAATGCTACATGTTTTTGGAAAGGAATATTAAACCTTTTTTTGCACAGATTTTAAGATACTGTTTAACACTTTGGAATTAGGTAACAGGGCATGCGGTTAGAAATTTTTTATGTAATTCTCTAAGGTCTGAACCATAATGTACTGGCCACTGACACAGGCAGGACCTTGTTCTGTAGGCTCTGAATCTGACCCGGTGTGGCCAATCCTAGGTGAGCCTGCAGGCAGCATGAGTAAAACATCTCCAATTCAGGTCATCATTGCATGTAAGCATAGTGAAGGCTATTCTTCATATGAAATGCTGAAGAAATCCTCATGTCTTCTCAGGCTGCTTGAATAGAAGGTATTCTCTGGCATCAAAACACTGTCAGGGGAAACCCTGGTGACTTTGTGAGCTCCCCTCTTCCCAACAAAGCAGGTACCACATGCTGCATGGGAACGGCTGCTGCTCAGGAAGGAGCATCCCCTGGTCAGCAGCACCACTGTGTGTGCCCAGCACCTTGCTCTGAAACATACAACTAGGGAGATCCCCCTTCTGAAAAGTGCTGCAAAACCAAATACGTTTTGTTGTTCTGTGCCCCTCTGGTTTCATCTACAGTTGGTTAGACAGTAACTGGAGTACGTATAACCTGAGCAGTGCTTCCAGCTATGTCCAGGAATTTGTCAGTCACGCTTTTTTAGCTTGATTTCAAGGGTTCTGGTTTTAGCTCTGACTTTCAGCTGAAGAATTTTCCAGACACGGACTAGCAGGTGAGCCTGACCATAAGGTGAAAATAATTTAATGTTGAAGTGCTCAAAGACTACTCACATCTTTAAGAGTAATGATGTTTGGATGCTGGCCATATCGCAAGAGGATCTCAATTTCTTCAGAGGGGTCTCTCTTGCTCTTATCAATTATCTGGAATAAATAAAGCACAGTTTAGTAAGATACTGGCTAGAAGCATGAAGCACAAACCAAGGAATTTCTACAGTTTAAACAAATTAATATTTAAAATTTTTCTATTAATCATTATTCTAGGAGAGGACAGCTCAAACCCTGTGCAAATGAGAGCCATGTTGACTATATGCCAAAGTCAGATGGAGCAATAATTAGGTTAGATTCTGAAGGCGTGGGCCCTTTTTTTGATGCCTATAGTTTTGTTTGCCCATAAATAATGACAGTTACAAGAAATACCATTTAGAAATCAAATTACTTGGAGATTTTTAAAATAATAATAGTTTTAAAATTACCTATGACATAAAAAATGGAAACGTTCATAATATTGGCATATGTCTGTATATTTGCTGATAAATTAATAGAAATTGCTTGCCAGGTGGATTTGTCAGAAATGAAAATGTATAGACATTTACTGTCAAGGGAGATCTCAGTTGAAGCTATTGGTAAACAGCTGGCTCTTTGGGCTGTGCTGTTGTAATGAATAAGAGAGTGGCCAGAGATTGCATTTGGCCACATAACCAAACTCTGCCCATTCCTAAGCTAGAAAGAAATCTGCTCTATATATCACTTTTCTGTATTCAGCATTTTTTGTCTTACCAGAGAGTATAGTAAGACTTTTTAGTTTTATAGCAGCAGGTCTGACATGACAGCCACTGCTTAGAGAGAATCACCGCATGGAAAGCCTGCTGTTAGGATGACACTGGCTTCTCATCAATACCTGCATTTGGGATGTCAATCAAAGAGTTTCAATCATTTGCCCAGTAGAGAGCACTGATTAATGTTTCTCACTTTGCAGATTTAAATGATAACTATGAAATAAAAACAAAAAAGCTATAAAATAATCCAAGGGCGATCTCTGTATTTTGGAATCTCAAATGCAACTCCACAGGGAATGGCGAAAGACTCATTCTACTAGAAACTCATTAGGGAGTACAGTACTCTGGCATAGTTTCTTATTGCTAGAAAACAGCAGCAATACTTTTGAATAACAGGTTTACCCAGGATGAATGGGTGGCATTTTCAGAAAATCATAATTCAGTTATTGGCTTGTATTTCAAGGATTCTAACCTTAAATGTGGTTAGTTCTCTCTAAGAACTATGGCCAGAGCACAGATTTAAAACAATAGTGTTTGCAGGGAAACAATTTTTTAAAAATCTCTTTTGTTTATGAGGATAAATGCCTGGCTGCTTTTGCATGCTTTTTGTTTTTTTTAATGGCTTAATTATGGCAATACACATTTAAGTATATGTCTAGAATTTTATGCATCAGCTATAATAGTGCAGACTTGAATATATATCAGAGATTTTGTAGATATCATGACTGGCGTGCATTTACAGGATTATGATGGTCAGTAGTTGTCTGTGGTTGAGGTAAGCATTTAAACCCATATCAGTGATTTGATTCTGAATTAATAGTAGTGGGATAAGTGAAAGTACAATAGGGGGCTGCTGCAGGTAGATGGCTGTTGTCTACATTTGAAGAAAAGAAGGAAAAAACTCAAAAAAGGGTGAGCAGAAAAAATTCTCCTCAGAACAATGTTCTTCCAGTTTAGTTGAGACATTCTCGAAAAGCCAACCAAGCCCTGACTGAATGACTGCTCATACCTACAACCGCAGTGCCTGAAGGTGTCCCACTCAACCAATAACTCTAACATATAAAAAGATCCTCAGGGACACTTTCTTGGCTAAACTAATATAGCTCTTGTCAAGTTAATGGAGTTACACACCCGCACCTGTTAGGATCTGCCTGCCTCGTACAAACCAGCAGAATTTACTGCAGTAAGTATTACTACCACTGCGTGAAGTATTACTATCACTACTACTACTGTAGCAAGCAATATATTCCAGATTCCTTTTCTGTTGTATTTTCCTGTGAAAGGAAATATCCAGAGCTATCGAAAATTTTAAGCAACTACTAATAATGTAGGACTAAAAATGCATATATATATGGATATATGGCCTAAAAAAAATCCAAAGCAAAAATAGTCTTCAGCTATTGACACAACACTCAAAATAAAACTGCCTGAAGGAATCTGCTACTGACTTAGCAGCAACAGCAGTAAATGATACATAATACTTCTAGTTCATAATATGCTATATAAATATATGTTGCAAGACAGTCCTGCTAAATACGCATGCTTTTTGCTTTAATGTATACACAAGCTTCAATACAGTGATTAAATGGACAAGCTGCCCCAAAACCACACAACAAATCATTGTCAGAGCTTTGAAGAGATCTGCCAAATTCCCCACACAGTCCCTGGACAGTTCAGTTGGACAGATCAGAACAATTTTTTTCCCTCCCCAGCAAGAGATTGTCACCCTGATGGTGTCTCTGGTGGGCCTGTGGCTTACAGCTGGCCCATGAGTGATAAAGCAGCAAAGGAGGTGGGTGCTGCACCGTTAGCAGAAATCCCTCTGGTTCAGCTTATTCATATGTTGCAACGGCCACAGCAGCTCCTTAAGTATACCCTAGAACTCCACCATGATACCCAGTTCTCCTGCTGTTCTTCAGAAAGCATTTTGTTGTGTTGTTCAACACATGGCAGACTTTCCAAAGAGGGAAGCTGTCATATCAGGATGGTTCGGTCAGTGGTTGCTGCCTCCTTTTGCACCTGGAGGTGTCTGCATCATGACATGAGGTGCCACATCCCCAGAACATCTGCAAATCATTCCTCCAAGACATCGTGTTTTGCATGAAGACAGACTCTTCTCTGTTCCTCTCTGGGTGACCCATGAACCTCCTGCAGCTCTTCCTGGGCAAGGTATGATGTCTTTTCTTTAGGAAATACATCCTGATTTGAACTTGAATAAAATGTGCACATAAACATCCTCTGTTACAGAATTAAGGGAAGATTTTCTCTGCTACTAGTCCTGAGGTTTTGAGTAATACATAATGATGCTACTTTTCTGTCTCTCTCTTGTAGATGTGTAGTGAAGAACCAATCAGAAAGCCATCATAATGTATAAATAACTGAAAATGTAACAAAAGCTCTGTTGTACTTTTGCAGAGAAGAGCTATGAAGCACAGGGGTTTTCTATTGTCTTTCAGAAAATTAAGGAACTGAGCCATATAAGAAGTAGACTTTTCTCCATGCATGGGACACCCAGGGATTGCTTTGTAACTCCTCTGTATTAAACAGGGGATGAATCAGTTCCAGAGTAGAAAGAGGCTCAGCACATGCAATATCATCCTTTATTCTAATAGAGGCCTTGCTCTTTGACCATCACATCCTTTGTGTATTTCACTGAGGTGCTCAAAGAAAAGGTGCATTTTCTTCAGTGGAATTTAGGATAAGAACCTCATGATATTTTAATATGAGTCCAGCTCCACTGAGGGACAATACTGAACTCTATCAAGGAAGAAAGGATCAGGAGAGATCATTTTAAAAATCGTAACTAACAATCTGGCCAGTTTTTACAAGTCCTTCTATATTTTTTTTGTGGAAAAAAATCACCTGATTCTTCCTTACGAATGGGTTCTCAATGTCTCCAGCCTTGCCAGAGTGGACTGATGAGTATAAAACAGACCATCAATACAGTTCTGTGTGGGTAAAGCCTTGCTGAAATTGGTACAGCAACTGTATAGACAGTTGTTGCAGCTTTGTGAAGGTATCTGTGCGCTTGCAACTGTGTAGATAAACTTCTTCTTCTGGGTCTAGTTATGCCATTAAGAGATGTTATAGTCCTCAGTTGCTTGATACCACCTACCAGCTGGGACTTACAGCCTTCACAGCTCTGCCAAAGAAACGGTATGTGTGAGCGCTCCCTAATCTGTTTGGGCAGAATTAGCCCTGTTAATACAAATTGCCTTTTCAAACAGCTGAAGATAACCTGGGTGACCTTGCGTGAGGAGGACAGCTGTGTTTCTCACATGGATTTCTCCATCACTACAGTTGTGAGATTGGAAAAAGGCAGGAGGTAGGAGGTGACAACTTAACTGCCTTTGCTGTCTGGAAAATGAACAGCCCAAAAGAAAAGGTGAGAGAAAAGCAATAGAGTGAGAAAGATGACAGAAAAAAACCATGAGATGCACTGATGGGGAGAGCAGTGAGAGGGGCCTGAGGAGAAAGGATGGGGCTCTGGCCAGGCTAAGCTGGAGCTATCAGCGAGGAAACTGCTCTCTGCTGCTGGGTCTTCCTGGGGAGATAGGACTTTTGCATCTTTAATGAACAAACAAGACTGCATTAAATGATTTGCTTGGCTCCAACTTGATTTTTACCCTTAAGTAAAACAGGACACAACAGCTCTGTCTAATTATGTCAATTGAAATGGGCAACAGTAGCCACCTCCCTTCTTAGGAAAGCTAAATGTGCCTAATACTGGCACAGGGGTTTAGCCCTTAACACTGTGGTGTGTGCCACCACCATGGACTGCAGCAAAAATTCTCCATTTTGTTTTAGTGGATTTATTCCACCACAAGAACCACAAATCCCGGGAAGCATTAAAGGTACACCCTGCAGCACTGGCATGGATAAAAAGTTTTGAGCTTTGACTGGGGTGTTTTAGTGGATCATGCTGCAGGTCCCCAAATGGGACCAGTGTCTGCATCATCTTCAACTGCCTTAAATCACCTTTCCTGGCAGCTAAAACTGAGACACAAGGGGGTGAACTGGGGCAGCTGAGCCACTGGTACCGTCCTAATCTGCTGCTCTGGCCACAGCAACAGAAAGTCCAGCAGGAGATCAGGGCAGACACCTGGGCACTACAATGTCTGAACAGCCACAGCTGAGGCTACCAACGTGTTCAGCCAGTGAGACTACCTCAAGATCCTTTTGACCAGCACCAGGGAACTTAGGATGGCTTTGTGGAAAAAGCATGGAGGAGGAAGAGAACTTTATACACTTCTAAAGCTGCTTCAGTTGGCATTACATACTTTGAAGATTTTTCTAAAGCTTGTTTGAAGTGTAAGCATGGGTTAATCACTTTTAAGAAGAGATTCATATAATACAGTTTGATGG